GCAACTTCTAACACAATGAAAGCTAGCCAACAAGGGAGAATATTTTAGCATGATTTCATTATTTCCTATGTACAATGTGAATGGTGTCTTTTGCAACCAAAAACCATTGGATGTTGTTTACAGCACTTGGAACTTTTATTGTCAACAACCAACAGAGGTGTATCTTACAATAACCTTTGGCTTCTGGGATTGGTATTATATACCTATGCAGTGGATGTTATTATATTCTTAAATTAGTTTGTAAAAAAAGTTTTTTTTATTTTTATTTATTTTTACTTAAAAATTTCCATCTCCTCCCCTCCTCTCATTTCCCTCCCCCTCCCCCCATCTCCCTCCCTTTCCCTCTCCAGTCCAAAGAGCAGTCAGGGTTCCCTGCCCTATGGAAAGTCAAAGGTCCTCCCCTCTCCTTCCAGGTCTAGGAAGGTGAGCATCCAAACAGACTAGGCTCCCACAAACCCAGTACATGCAGTAGGATCAAAACCCAGTGCCATTGTTCTTGGCTTTTCAGTCAGTGTTCCTTGTCAGCCACGTTCAGAGAGTCCGGTTTGATCACTGCTCCATCAGTCTCAGTCCAGCTGACCTTGGTGAGCTCCCATTAGATCAGCCCCACCGTCTCAGTGGGTGGGTGCACCCCTCAGGGTCCGGACTTCCTTGCTCACGTTCTCCCTCCTTCTGCTCTTCATTTGGACCTTGGGAGCTCAGTTCAGTGCTCCAATTTCATACTACTTATTTATGGATCTTTAGCTTGAATCAAGTCTCCCTCCCTTCCAACCCCTCAGCTCCCTTCCTTATTCCCATCTGAAGCCTATTACCTGCGATATTCCCTTCTTTGGCTCTCATATCACACATAAAATCACATATTCCTCACCCCAGGTAGCCACCCCAGTTTAATGTTTCCATTTCCACTTTCACACAACTCATGTTCCATCCTCACTCCTCAAAAGTCCTCAGATGGATTTACACTCATTTCCTGCCTTCTACAGGTACTCCAATTTAAGCATACTTACCCAAAAATTCAAATTGACAATCAACATAGAAAAGATAACTTGTGTTATCTCTTTTTAGGTCTGGTTGACCACACTCAAAATTATTTCCAGATCTGTTCATTCATCTGAACATTCATGTGAAGCTGAAAAGTATTCCACTTTTAATATGTAGTGCATTTTGATGATTTATTCATCTAGAATGTTACCTGAGTATTGTCAATAGAGCGGCAATGAACATGGATGGAAATAACTCTGCAGAAAGATATCAAACCCTTCAGGAATGTGCCGAATAACAGTATAGCCGGTACTATGGTGCGCCTGTCTCCTCTTATTTTGAGAAGTTTCCTCATTGATTTATATAGTAGTTGTACCAGTTTGTACTCCCATCAAGAATGAATAAATGTTCTTCTTCTTGCACATCCATGCCAGCATTCACTATCATTTTAATTTTTAATCTCAGTTATTCTGATTGGAACGAGATCCAAAAATAGCTAGTAGAGCATCTAATACAACTGCTGCCATTCAAATGGAGTAGCTACTTATAAAAGAATAAAATTAGATCTTTATCTCTGACCTTTTGTGAAACTCAAATGCAAATGACTCCAATATAAGACCTTAAACACAGAATCAGCTGGAGGGAAAAAACGTCAATTATATTTGAACTCATAGGTAAATTAAAAGGCTTGATAAAAAGGTCTTCAGAAATACAGGTATTAGAAAAAACAATTGATAAATGGGACCTCATGAAACTACATAATTTGTGTTCAAGAAATTACATCTCATCAGAGTGAAGAAAATGCCTAGAGAATAGGGAAAATAATCTTACTAGTTATATCTCTCACTGGGGGTTAACATATAGAAAATATTATACAAATATACAGAAAATTGAAAAGAAACATAACACCAACAAATAGAACCCAATCAAAAAAGTTTAGGAAAGAAGACAGATTTCTGAGTTTGAGGCCAGTCTAGTCTACAGAGTGACACCCAGGGCTACACAGAGAAACCCTGCCTCAAATAAATGAAAGAAAGAAAGAAGACAAAGAGAAAGGGAGCCGCACAGGTCAATCAATCACTAAAGTAAGCTAAACTGGCTTGCATTACATTTATGCCACTTTATCCAACATGAACAGTTAGCCAGAAAAACTAACAACAGGTACTTTTTTTTTTTAAGGAAAACCAGTGACTTCCAGAATCATTAATATGTCCAAAAGGACCAGAAACTTGAACAATTCCAGTAGAGAATCCAAGGGAAGATAGATTCTCTGGGCAGCTGATCATGCACAGGGAAAACAGGCTGTGATATGACAAAGTAAAGAAAATGTTTATGCCACGAACATCCCAGTAGCACAGACAAAAAGAACAGCAACATCAAATTTCATAATTAGAATACTTAACACATAGCATAATCTTGTTCTGACAGAGTTATCAGTGAACACAAGATCAGGCAGCTTGGACAGCCATTGGCACCTTGGTCAAACAGTCACTACTTACTGTTCAGGGGCCCTGCCCCATCCAAGAATGGAAGCAGGCTTATTTTGCATATTAGTATATGTGAGCAGGACCTAAGCATGTGCATTCTGTATACAGAAGAAGCAGGAAGAATATTTGAGATCCATTACATGAGAGTACAAACAGTGAAATGTTAACTGCTCTTGTGTACCTGTCAGAACATACTTTGAGGATGTGACTAGCCACCAAGTGAACCTCCCCAACACTCCAACTCTTTCTTCCCTCTCCCTGTCCATCACACTTATGGCTCTGAGATCTCATCAGTTTTAGTGTGGGCCTGGAAACAAGTAGATGTGTGACACTGTGGGCATACCAATTTTTCATAGGCATAGTAAGCATAAAATTGAATTTATAAATAAGGTGCAGGAAGAGGTTAACAATAACTAATGATATCAAAGAAATACTATGAGAGTATACGCTAATGATATCATCAGCATCAGTGTTCTTCTAATGCGGAGCCATTAATTACAAAATGAAAAAGGAATGCTTCTTTAGTATACGCTCTCATATCTCAAGTGTCACCCTGTTCACAGAGAGAGCTGTGGAATGAATAATTTGCTGATGACTTTTGCTCAGATGGGACAAGTGTTAACGATGCAAGATATTAACACTACACTCAAAAAGTCATGGCTCTTAAATTCTCCAATTTTTTATTTCTGAAAAATATCATGTATTATTTTGAAATGCAATGGATTTTAGGCAACTGGTATTATAGCAAATGAAAACGTAGATTTTGATAAATGAGAGATACTTCTATCTTTTGAGAGGAGTCTTCATAAACCTAGTATATTTCATGGCCCAGTACATTTTCCCACACGCAACAGATTCTTGGTATCTTTCAAGTTCCTTGGTATCACGGGATGATAAGCAAAGTAGACTGAGGCCTGGTAGCTTTTAACCTCATGTGTTTCTGAATTGGATTCTAGCTTTATGGAGCTCAGGCAGGGTGCTGGACTCGTAAAAACCTGAAGCATGAATTTCCAAACTTCTGTGTTTTCCGTAACAGGAAGACATGCACTCAGACATTCTTCCAATTGTATATCTAAAGAAGTATCATTAACCTCAGCACACACAACACACTCATAAGAACTGGCACATCGTGAAATACAACAGGAACAATGAGTTCACTGATTGTCATTAATACCACAGAGCAGTTCTTTACAGTCCACATGGTAAGAATTCAACTATGCCGTGATGATTTATTAAGAAAATAAACAGAATTACCAGTTCAACTTTATAACAAGGGTTCTACCTTTTCTAATAAGTAGTATGTGGTCCCTTCAAGTGTGGCATTTTTCTTGGCATAAGGTTATGGACCACACTAATCTTTCAGCAGCTCCTGGAAGAAGCTTTATTCTAAATCATCACTAGACAAATGATAATTTCCACTTTCCCTGATATGGAGCATGTTGGGAATATTTTTTCTACATCCTTCCAGAAGACATTACTTATGTTCTCGTATTCAAGGCAGTTCAACTCTCTGCCAAATGAGACTCCAGTATATGTCATGATGAGGCATCTAATCATATACCAAATATACTTGTATTTTAAACGAATTGCCTCAAACAGGAAAAGCTTGTTGTTTAAGGACCTGAGTTGACCCCTGTCAGCACATGTTTAAAAAAAATTCTGGGTATGGTAGTATGTGTCTGTCATGTTAGCACTAGAGAGGCAGAGACAGGGTATTTCCCTAGGCTGACTGGCAAGTATGTTTAGCCCAATCTGTGAGCTTCAGATTCAGAAAGAAACACTATCTGAAAAATCTTAGTGGAGATAAACTGAGGAAGACACCCAGCATTGAATGCTGCCTTCTATAAAAACAACTACACTCATACACACACACACATACACACATATACACACACATACACACACATACACATACATACACACATACACAAACACACACACGGGCTATGCACTGCGCATACAAACTCAATATAAATATAAAGGTACATACACACGCTACTACATACCAATATTTCTCAACTTCCTGTGGCAGTGACCCTTGAATAGAGTTGCTCATGTTGTGGTGATCTCTATCCATAAAATTATTTTCATTGACAGTTCATAACTGTAATTTTGCTACTTATCAGTGTCTCAATTCCTAACACTATTGAATAGGTATTTTACAAAGGATGTAACTCACAGGTTGAGAACTGCTCCTGCATACACACATGCAAATATATAGAACTAGCAGATATTTCTCTTCTCCTGAATGATGTGTAAGAAGAATGAAATAAAGACAACCAATACCGTCCTCACAAAAGACTCATCCAATACTACACTATGACTAAAATCTTGGCATGTTCAGAATACTGCTGTTTTTCCCACACCAGAAAAAGGGTAAGAGCCCCCAGATTTTTCAAAACAGCAAATGATGTTTCAAAAAAAAAACATGACATTCAGGATAATAACTGTCTTACAGTCATAAAGAAAATAGTAATTTTTTTCATTAATTAAAATCCGCAAATGCTATTTTATTGCCAAGTGATGTCTTACTTGAATTTAGGTAGAGTGGTAAGTCTTCTTTGCAACGTTATTTCTTGGGCAATCTCAACATCCTGGAGAGCAGACTAGAAGTGGAAATAGAAAAATAAAAAACATAAATAATTCTTCAAAGCATTCCATGTGGAAGCAATGGATCGATGCATTGAACATACTGGCTTTCCCCCAGAGTTTAACATACATGTTGATGTACACATCAATCATACTCCAAGTCCCTGACATCACTGAAAAGAAAAATACATTATTTTCAATATAGCAATGCATAGTGGATTGTTCTATATTAACCAGACACAAGTTATAGTCATCTGAAAGGGAGGAACCTCAAATAAGAAAATGTCTCCATAAGATCTAGCTGTAAAGAATTTTCTTAATCAGTGATTGATGGCAGAGAGTGAGTTCACTGTGGGTGGTGAAATCCCTGGGCTGGTGGTACTGTGCTACGTAAGAAAGGAGGCTGAGAAAGTCAGTTAGCAACACCCTTTTATGGCCTCTGCATCAGTTCCTGCCTTCAGATTCCTACCCTGTTTGAGCTCCTGCCCTGACTTCCTTCAGTGATGATGATAAATATAAGCTTAATGAATCCTTTCCACCTCAACTTGCTTTTGGTCACGGAGTTTCATTACAGTGATAGTATCCCTAATTAGGACAAAATGTTATAAGATTAAATTCTATGAAACACAATTTTGGGAGATAAGCTGTAAACATATTACAAGTGAATATACTTTATCATGCCCACACTTGCCTTTGTCAGTTACAGGTCCTTGGATCTTAACTATCAGCCTACAGAGAGACACTGAGAATGATAATCCAAGTTCAAATTCACAGTGATATTTTAAAGGTTCCATTAAGAGGAATGATTTACTGACTGACTGACAACTGTTTCTGAATTTTTTTTTAAATGAGATGTAGGTATTAACTCAGTCTTATGTATGGCAAGGATTTAACCCCACAAAGTAATGCAATTCAAGGACTGGCAACATCTTATTCATTTCAGATGATAAAACTGTGTTTCTGCTTTTGCCACTAATTTTTAATGTTCTTATTTGCATTTTTTCTGAAATCAATTATAGTTTTCCAAAAGTCTAATCCTTCAGGAAATGATGGTTATGGGAGATGTCTATATCACAGGGGAGCAGAGATAAGCATCAGCTTGGATTGCTATTTTTGTGGCATGGAAACTGTTTCTACGGTTTACACAAGTATCTATGAGATGGAAGAGATCCCTTCTAATACGGACTATCAAACAGATTTATGCAAAGGCCTACAGATACACATTATGTTAAACAGCTTGGTAAAGTCTGAATCACATTTAATTTTGCAAGCACGATTTTAGATGACATAATCATGGGTACTCAGTTGGTAATCTTCCCAAATAAAAGGAAGAAACATGTTCTTTTGCAGACTTGGGAGATAAGCAGATGCTTTAGACATGACCATATACCCAAGAATTCTAAAATCTAGGGACTGGGAATTCAAAGCATTCTTTTCCATCACACAGGAACATAATGGGCCTCATCCCTGTGAAACTAAAGAGCTACAATCAATTGGCAATTTAAACAAGCTTGGAGAAAGAGCCCAAGGTCCATGTGATAATGTAGCCGGGATGACACAGAAAGTATAGGCTTATGAGACCTTGAGTAAGTAATTACTTGTGTTTATTCCTCTGAGCCAATGACACTGGGATAACAAATAATGATTGTTTTGTAGACTGGGAAGGCAGCAGCTTCCTCCAAGCAACGGACAGAAGTCTGTTGCTTCACGCTTGTAGTTCTGTGCTCTCGCAGCTCAATGCACGCCATAGGAAGAGATACACCATGCAGAAAATCCTTAGCCGTAAAGAGTTACAAGTGAGTCCTAGCTTTGGCAGCATGGACATGAAAACTAGACCGAAGCAGAGAAAATGAGCTTGGCCCCTGTGCAGGCATGACATAAAAATCCTTGAAGCACTTCATAATTTTGTTGATGTGGTTAACATCAAAATCTCTTACTGATGAACCCACCTAAATTCTCTAGCAGCAGACTCAGGAAGGTGTAATTTACTGGCCCTTTGCTCTAACCTAACAAGCTATTAATATTCTCTCTTTACCCTTCACCTTGGTTTCAATTAACACAAGATCATAGCTCAAGAGATTAACTGTTTATGCCTTTACCTCTAGAGATGCAGGGGAAAGGGGCTGGGTCACTACACCAGTCCCAGAGAAAAAAATTCCTTCCCACTTGGGTGCCAGCAGTCACCAGTCACCCCGCTGGGCTGCAAGGAAATTCAGGTAGCATGGTGCCTCTGCCAATCAAGGAAAGTCAGGTAGCATGGTGCCTCTGCCAATCAAGGAAAGTCAGGTAGCATGGTGCCTCTGCCAAGCAAGGAAAGTCAGGTAGCATGGTGCCTCTGCCAAGCAAGGAAATTCAGGTAGCATGGTGCCTCTGCCAATCAAGGAAAGTCAGGTAGCATGGTGCCTCTGCCAAGCAAGCACTTCTACCTTCCTTCTAAGCCTGCAGGTTACTCTGGATACAAATGCTGTGTTCCCAGCCACCAGGGAAGGAAGTGGAAATGCTCAGAGTCCTAAACGTCTAGCTTAACTAGTTACACTAACGGGTTAGCTTCTCCCAAGGGTATAACTCACAGGAGCTGTAATGTAATATTAATCATTGTACTCCTAATAGTTTTAACTTTATTCATTACATGGCAGCAGAGAACTTGGAAATATCTAACATGCTGGTTGTACAGAGGATCTAACCAAATGGGCAACCACTCGGGTCGAGCACCATAAGATGTCTGAATGACTAGAGAAACGCTGGGAAAATCTGAAAGGGAAGACTTATTCACAAAATGTTTGGATTTGAAGAGTCCCTCATGAGAATTAACAGAAATGAAAATAGTCTTGTCACATACTGTGGAAGAGGAGCGTCATACCAACACGTGAAGCAGAGCCAACAGTTCTGTCAGGACTGCAGTATTGCTCTGATTGTTAATTGGAGGTTAGATTGCTCATTCTGTATACCTGTGACTGGCATAACAGTTTACCATGACATCATCTTCCCTAAACAAGCTAAGCAATGTTCAACCTATGGAGCATGAAAGGAATAAAATCATTTCTTCATAAAATTAATATGCCACGGATAGTTGCTATAACAAAAACCATACCATTGATTATATAATAGTGTTCCTATTTACAAACCTATAATATTTCCTACATAACCAAATAAAACATTTTTGTTTTTAAAATTTATTAAAATGGAATAAATTCATCAGATGTAAAGTAGCCAAGCTGCACGGCAGAAATGCGATGAGTCAATAAAATGATCTCATTAAAATCGTTTTCTAACATTTGCAACAATAATAATGCTAGGATTAAATTATTTTGAAAATGGTTTTATTTAAAAAGTAAATATACTTGCCAATAATATAAAGGCTATAACATTTTATAGATTAATTCAATAAACTGAGAATCAATGCTTTTCCATCATACAAAACTTTTGCTTTTTAGACAGTCATTGTTTTAAGTACATAAAAATATCTCTGTCTAGAGACTGATGCCTACTGATAATATTCCTTCTAGATCATGTAGTGGTTTTTAAACTTGTTTAATGAACAAATATTTAAATCTGTTTGTAAAGTTTGGTTTCTTAGGTGTACAAGCAATCTAAGTGAGCACATCCCTGACAGATGTATGTCCTGATTACAGGTAAGTCTGAAAGGTGGAAGAAGACATCCTAAGGCAGGCACAGTAGTCTATTCTGTAGTAGAAGTGCAGGCCTAAATAATAAATTAGTGGGAATATGTTGGTGCCCAAAGGTCAGAGAGTTCAGGCCTATTCTTGTTCCTTCGAGGTGACTGACAGGAGGTTAGACCCAGGGTGTGGCTACTTGATGCTTTGGGCATTTCAGAAGGTGATAACTTGTTTGTTTCTTGCATTTTGGTAAAGAGGTCTTTTTTTTTCTTCCCACTCCTCTTTGGATTGTGGTATATAAGCCTATGAAAAATAAATGTGGGTGGATTCAGTATTCACTGGGCTGCCCTCCAGACTCTATCGTGTGTCTCTGTCTTTGTTTTCTTCTGCGTAACATTTCTAATCTACACGCCCCAACCCTGGACCTTATGAACCCATCAAGACTGGATCCTGAAAAGAGTGAAAGGTAAAACAGTTTAGGAGCTTTGAATGGATTTTTCTATTTGTATATCAGCAAATCTGAGTGGTGAAGGGACAGAGAAAGAAAACAGACAAAGAAAAAAAAGTTTGTGGCACGGCATGTATTATGTGATATACCATAAAGAAAATGCAACACAATTTTTATTTATTTATTTATTTATTTATTAAGGATTTCTGCCTCCTCCCCGCCACCGCCTCCCATTTCCCTCCCCCTTCCCTGATCAAGTCCCCCTCCCTCATCAGCTCGAAGAGTAATCAGGGTTCCCTGACCTGTGGGAAGTCCAAGGACCACCCACCTCCATCCAGGTCTAGTAAGGTGAGCATCCAAACTGCCTAGGCTCCCCCAAAGCCAGTACGTGCAGTAGGATCAAAAACCCATTACCATTGTTCTTGACTTCTCAGCAGTCCTCATTGTCCGCTATGTTCAGCAAGTCGGGTTTTATCCCATGCTTTTTCAGACCCAGGCCAGCTGGCCTTGGTGAGTTCCCGATAGAACATCCCCATTGTCTCAGTGTGTGGGTGCACCCCTCACGGTCCTGAGTTCCTTGCTCGTGCTCCCTCTCCTTCTGCTCCTGATTTGGACCTTGAGATTTCTGTCCGGTGCTCCAATGTGGGTCTCTGTCTCCTTTCATCGCCTGATGCAACACAGTTTTAAGTGTCCTCATGTCTGAAAAGTATGTCTCTACACTGACAGACAGCAGTCAATGAGGATTGCCACTCACGGCGCATGACCGACAGGCATCTCTTTAACATCTTGACACTGAAACAGAATATCTCCCGGTGTAAAAATCTCTTTTATTTAAATTTTGAATTTTTCTTGAACGTTTCACACAAGTACTGTATTCACATCATTTTCACTCTTTCTTCTCTCACTTCCAAATCTTCCTGTATCCTTTCCATGCCCGTTTCTTATTTAATTA